TTCTCATGCTGTCCTTTCCGTGTAATTCAGCAGAACTTTGCGCCGAGCTGCATTTTCTTACTTCCAATTTTCTTTCCTCCGTGTTACTTTTTAGGTACGACCGCTTCCTCACCTGAAAGTACAGCAGGTTTACGAAGAGTTTTAAAAGTAAGCTAAATTGCTGTCTTCCGATGGAAACGTTGACGAAAAAGGGCAGGTTGGCTTCAGTAAAGAATTGTCGTCTTCTTAAAGTTCTGCCAAATCGTCTTCATCCCATTCAAAAAAAATCTTCAATATCCATAGTTTGGTCACTTTACTGTGCAGCGTAAACAAAGTTGCTGCTAAAATGTCGCTTGCGACAGTGACGTCACGAATTTCCACCATGTTGGAACAGGTGACGCGAGCTAGTTTCCAATTCAGTCTCTTTACTCGCCATGGTGTGGCTAATACAGGAAACAGAGGAGTCCTATTTGATCTTTTTTCCAGTTAAATTCGCCGTACAGTTGTGGCGCGAATCGACTTTTTGTTGCCACTTGATCGGTCTTCCACCTGTTTACAATTAAAGATGGCAGCCTGTAGCTCACGCATCGTACAAGCCACAAAATGCTGCCGTGTCTAATAAAGCTGCGCAGTCTGTAGGCCAAGAACTTCAGGCACTGCTCTTTGTTCTCACATCTTCTTGCATGACAGCTTGAAATAGCTCTGTTGGGTTTGTCTTGTGGTATTTCGGTGATAGCATCAAAACTTGAATTTTCGATTCTCAAAACCCCTGATGTATCACAGGATTATAGTTCTGTTTAAATGCTTGTAAATACTTCACGTTGAATTCATGACAAAAAAATCCACAAACACGTTACGATGTTCTTGGCGTAACAACACTGCGATATCGATGAAAAACACGCGATTTTCGGTTCTATATTACTGTACTATATTACTGAAAAACGCGCGCTAGTTTCTGATTGATGAATCTGTCGACAGTTGATGAAATTGGATTACATGGAAACTGGTGGGCATAATGTAAATGATAATAATAATGATGATGATGGATAATAATAATAATAATAATAATAATAATAATTAGATTTTTAATCCTAGTTCTAGTTTTAAACCTTAGTTTTAGTATCACGTTTTTAGCTTTTATTACTTCAGTATTTTAGACATTTAATGTATATTCTAGACTTTTATCTTCTAGAGGACCCTCCTGAAAACTACCTCTATGTGATTGGAGGCCTCCTCTTTTAATATTAGTTTTATTATTATATTATCATTAACTTTCGAGAGAAACATCGGGAGTATTATTGTTCATGCTCCTTTTACGACCTTTCACGACTTTAAAAATGCTGCGTTTCCAGATATTCATCTAAAAGAAACAAATTGCTTTTAAGATTGCTAACAGAACAAATGTTATGAACTGACGAATTCTACGATGTCATTAACATCGATGATGATGTCATTAACAGTAACGATGACGATGTCATTAACAGTAAAAATTTTACTTATTTGCAGGCGTTAACGGGGAAGAGGTAGGAAGCCAAAAAACGCGAGGAAGAAGGGGAAGGAACCCTGCGATAACAACCGCGCTTTTGACATTATGCCCACCAATTTCCATGTAATCCGATTTCATCAACTGTCAATTACTGTCAACAGAATCACCAATCAGAAACTAGCGTGCGCTTTTCAGTAATTTAGTACAGTAATATAGAACGGAAAATCGCGTGATTTTTAGGAAAAGAAGAGTCGCATGTTTTTCATCGATATCGGAGTGTTGTTGCGCCAAGAACATCGTAACGTGTTTGTGGATTTTTTTTCGTCACGAATTCAACGTGAAGTTGCTTTTTTTTGCGTAAGGAAGATTACGTAAACATTGTGACAGTTCGCTAAGATTGTTCTCCTTTTAATACATTTCGATCTTTATTTAAAGAAATCAACTTCTCGACAAGTGAACTAGCCTTTCGTCCTTTTGTTCTTTTTCAAAGGCAATTACACGAAAGTCTAGTCGAAAATTATCGTGAGAATCGTCAGCGCTTTATGAGAAACCTGTTGAACAATAAGTGTAATTTCCAAAGGTACTCCTATTGTTTGGGCATTAGTTTTCTTTCAACAAGGATTTAAGATGTAGGTGTATTGAAAAATACGGAAATCTTGCCAACTACTACTTCAATTTTTGTCACTCCATTTTATTTTAAAATCTCTTTTTTAGTGATATACCTGTAAACTAGCTGGAGAACTACTGTAGCGCACCACCATGGCTAAGCGTATGTACTGCTCAGATCTTAATCATCAAAAAATGATGTTTTTAAACCGTCAGCTGTCTACCCCGTTGAGACCCCCTTGCGGTGAGTTTGATTAAAACTGAACATCGCCATATCACTTTTCCGATCAGATATATTGGTTCGTACAACTACAATTTGAGACGAAATTTCAGGATTATTTACGCCAGAAAAATAATATTTGCTCTTTGAATGTTGCTGTAAGATTTGTTTGAGAACTTAACCAGCTAGCAGTCTAACTAAATGTTATATTTAAAATCAGTTTACTCTAAGTTCTTGCTGTTTGTAGCCTACAGATGACTATTGCCTAGTCAGGCATTTGATAAGGCGGCAACACCTGGGAGAGTTTTACCTGTGGACGAAAAAAATAACACTGCGTTTAGAGATCTTTTTTTAAAATGTGATTCGTTCGTTGGGTAAAACAAAATCAACATATGATACCCAGTTTGCCCTTCTACACTCTCCAAGTTACATACATTTTATGGTCTTTTATATAACTAGCTGTTATTGCACAGTTTATCTCATACAACTGTAGTCAAACAATATTAGAAACAGTTCCACCTGTATGAAGCTGACAGCAAAAGTGACATTGTTTTAAGCGGACAGTACCCAAACTCCCAAAACTCATTTCCCTTATTTACTGCTAATAATCTCCCATTAACCAGAAACCATTACACGGGACCGTTGATGCCTAAACAGGGGTCGAATCAGTCATTTCTATTGCTAAAACTGACTCAGGATCTATTAAATGAATGCTGGTATCAGGATTCTACAACCCAACATGTCTGAAAAGATTGGTATAAGTTAATGTTGCTGGAGCATACTCGTTATCATGGAAACTAGGACCTCTCGTAACATTAGTGATGTTATTGACCTGTTTCTAGACTACGAGTAGGCCCTCTTTCGCTTAGCCCGTCGGGCGTGACGCGAAAGAAAACGGCGAGAAAAAGAATGGCCGCGCGAAATCCTGGGGGCGAGGAGCGCGAAAGGAGGGATCACCGCCTAAGCCAGGTCCGGAGTTTGAATTATGCGTTGCTTTCACAACGAAAAACTATGATTACTTATGTTAGGAGTGTTGATAACGTGTTGTCAACGTTCAAGATGCGTGTGACGTCTTGCAGGAATGTTTATCTCGCTTTCCGACAATAGAAAGCTTTGAAACCGGAGCAAATCGAAGCGTTGGAATCGCGCTTCGCAAGCCGCTTCGCTTCGCGTAATCGCTTCGATTCCTTGTAAGATAAGGCATCCGATCTTAAATATTCCCACACAAAGTCTTATAATTTTGTCATGACCACTACTACGCAAATTTATGATCATTGCTCACAGCTTGTGTGTTTGGGCCACCTGTGGGAATTCCTAAAATTGATTTAGCTTTTCCTCGCTTGTAGATGGCTAGAACAAAATGTGGCATACTGTGTACAAACCATTAGGCGAGTGTGTCACTGATGTTCTTACCACATGACGTCTTCAGTGATCTATTTCTCAACAGACGCACGGCAACACAGACTCTACATTACTTACAAAAACATTTCGGGCGCTAACATTTAGGACGTTTAACTGATTTTCCGACTGAAACAGCGTCTGTTGATAGTTTTACTGTGCCGACGAGAAAATAACACAAATTCTATAAAGCAGTTACGTATCTCAAGCGGTGTCTCCACTAGAGTTCGCTCCATAAGGGAAAGTAAAGCAATGTTATGGTGAATTGGTCGTAAAGCGGCAGTTAAATGTGTATTGGAATTAAAAAAATTAGCCGTTGTGGAAAGTTGAGTTTGAGATTTTTTGTGTGGTTTTTCAAGTGTTTTACTTCAGCCAGACTTGAAGTTTTAGTTCGAAGTACAGCGATGTTTCTTGTGACGTCACGAGCTCTGTGACGATTACCGTGGTTTTCAATGTGAGGAGAGAAAATTAGATAATTAAGTATGTTTTACATATTCGCTTTCGCTATAAGAAAATATCGAAATCTGACATAGATATATTGATTTTAGTTCATTTTGCATTTCTAAGTTAGAGGTTACTGTTCCAGTTCATTAACCGTAACAAACACCTGCTCTTTTGTTGTGGAATCATAACTGTAATAAGCGTTGAACTGTAATTATCAACAACATCCAAATGCATCTCAATATGGCCAAAAACATCTCATGGCACAGGAAAGGTTCACTTACGCAAAACCGAGCTGAGAAAAACTGAGAATTTTTCTGGGTAACCTGCTGCATAAAACTTCACACTGCGTATGGCCCTATATAGCTGCCGCCTTGTCAAACTCGCGTTGGCAATTATTAAAATTATTATGTATAATGTTAACTCATAGCTTTTTTCATATCACTCACGCTTATAAATGCTAACAACAAAAAGAAAGTTTTGTCTGTTTGTAATTTTGACCATCGGTACCTAATTTGTACTAAGGGCCTGTTTACAAGGAGGGAGGGTTACCCTAGCAAGCAGGCTAACCCTAGCAGGAAGGCAAAAGATAGCCCGGGTTTACAAGCAAAATTTCACAGGTAGGGTAACCCTACAACCCGGGACAACCTAATGCGCGGTTAAACTCAAAGGGTCTGGAAACAAGTAGAAAGTTAACCCACGTAGGCGTGTTAACCCTACCTGGAGTGTTTACAAGGCAAAAGGTTAACCCACCTGCCAGGGTAACCCTAGCACCCACATAGGGAAACCCGCCTACCCAGGAATCGAATTCAAAACTTTGTAGTAACGAAACAGTCTTTAAGAAGCGTTTCAGGAGCAAACTTCTAAGGGATTTTTTAGGATGTAATTGACATAGGGATGAGTAGTTATGTAATAGATATAGTGATGAGTAGGTTTTTATTTTTTAATCTTGTAAATAATTTAAATATCTATGTAAATTATTACTTTATAATTACTATTGTTCCTGAAAAGCCCCAAGTATTCATTCATATTCATTCATCCAGGTAACCCTGGCTGCCTTGTAAACACGACAAAGAGAAAAAGAGGAAATGTGTGAGTGCTACTGGGTAACCCTCTCTCCTTGTAAACCCTCCTTGAAAACTCTCTCGCCTTAATGTAATGTAGCAAATGATTGTATAAATATTATATGTAGCTTTGTAATGGTTTTAGTTTTTTTCTTTCTTTTCCTTTTGTTTTTTTAGTGGTATATACAGTGCGTTTACAGAAACCGGGGCCACCCAGACAATGAAAACCAATGAGATGGCAGAACTGAAACAACAGATTCAAACATTTTCAAATCCCGCCAATCAAATGGCTGGCACAAAACAATGAATTTTAAAGCCATTCCGGTTAGCCTAAATATTAGTTTGGTTAACCTGAATAGCACCTGGTTGACCTAAATAGCTACCCGAGAAATTTTGTTAGCTTGTGTTTAGACTTAAAACCAGTAGGGATCAACTCTGTTTAGTATAAAGAGCACTCTGGTTAGCCTAAATTAGTTTGATTAGTTTGTGGTTTATAGCCTTTTTATTGGAGTTAGGGATCCTGGCTCGCCTGGGTCACATTTTAGTAACATTCTGTAATTTTAATTGTACTGTACTGCAATTATTATTTTTTTTTTTAAGTAAAAAAAAATAAAAATATTAACAAGACACGATGAAACGCTATGGTTAAACAGTATTACCCTCCAGCAGTTCAAGGGAAGCACCTCCCCCAGTGCTCACATGGCTGACAAGATCTTCTGTACCATACTTAGCACAACAAGTGGCTGTATCTCCTCCACCTGAGAGTCAAAATGTCCATTGTTATGGTCTAAAATATAACAGCTGCCACAAAATGTAATAGAAACCAAAATGCGATAAAAACTTCCCCAAAATGTACTACTAACGACATGTCTTGAAAATGTTGCATGTCAATTCAGTATGATCCATCTCCAGTTAGCATACTGCATAGACTTCAGCAGATCGCACAGCTCATGTTTAATTCCTGGCCAGGTTGCCTTGTCCTTGAACAAGGCACTTACTCTCAAAAGGCACTTTCCACCCAGGCATATAAATGTTTCCAGGAAAATTTGCATTGCTGCTTGATAACCCTGTGACGATCTAGCACCCCATCGAGTACACACACTCCTTGTTGTACCATACATCAGAAACTAAGACACCTGTTCCGTTTTTCCATTTTTCACATTTTTAACCATCTACATTTTTCCTGTTTATTGTTAGCTCTTTGTTGTCATTCTACCTTGATAAACTAATGATTATTTCGAGGAGTCCCAATTGAAGGTGAACATACTCCAAAAATTGCATGTTGACGAAAACACTTTAGTAAAAACAAAACATATCTATTAGGCTAGACTGCCATAAAGATTACAAAACGTTAATATCACTGAACTTGATAAACAATTCCACGAGATAAATTAGAAGTTAATTATTAAAAGTTAATTAAGAGCATTTAATATATAGATTTAGCCAAGCCTTAAAGCGGAACTCCTGGGCTGTGTTCAAAGCCTGATTTAGCTAACCCTGGATAAGCGAGAATTTTAATTTGAGTTTTGTAACTTCGTGGTGAGGTTTTTCGTTTACATTGTTTGGCCTTCTGTTTTGAGTTTGAATAATCTCAAACTACACAAAATATAAGCAGTGGAAAACATTTTTATACAAGAAAATTTATAGTTTGGGTAACTTTTAACCCTGGGTTAGCATTAACTGGCTTCCGAACAACCCGCACTTGATTAACAGTTAACCTGGCTTGAGCCCACGATCCAATCGAAAAACAAGCACTTGGTTGGCGATCAACTTGAAAAAACACGTGATCTCGATAAGCTTTAACCCTCGGACGTACTAAGGGGATGCCCCCCCAAGGTTGTTTCAAAGTTTTGGAAAGACGATATATTCTAAAAGGCTTGAACTTTCAGTAGCTGTTCATTCATCCTTTGCAGAAATTTTGATATCTCAATTGTGTCCATCATTTTTGACGTTTCCATGGCAACTGCAAGTAGGTCTGACCAAAAATCAACCTTTTAGACATAAATTCACAAATGTTTACACTTCATAAGCACTCTCGCTTGATTTTGTATTAATTTCTGTTATTTCTTGACTTTTTAAGAAAATAGTAAGTCCAAGATGGCGGATCCAAGATAGCGGGTCAAATGTTATCTTTTGATGTCGTAATCAACAAAAATGGTATCATTTTGTAGAGCAAGTTCAGGGCTATCTAGTCATTGTACATTTACTTTGCTGTGCCTTAACAGAACAAAACCCAGGGGAGGGGTTCCATCCACCCCCCCCTCCCTTGTACCATGGTATGAGTTAGCTTGTACCTCTGAGGGTTAACCTTGAGCCTGCAATATGGTCATGTGATACTGGTCAGCGGATACCTTGCTTTACAGGTGTTAATAGACAAATTTGGCTAACACACACGTGACATTGAATTGGGAATTTACATTGGGTGAAAACGAGGCTCCCTTAAAATTTTCTTTATTATGGCAGCCGCTTGTACTTGTTGTGTGAATCATGTGCCTTGCTGTGGTTGTTTATTCAATAAAGAACAGAAATGGTCGAAATACTTGAGGAATTTTCCAAAATTTAGCTCAACAAACATGGTCTGTGTGGCTCAAGCAAGGCGGAAAAAAGAATGCTGGGGAGAAAAGCTGTATAAAGTCCTTTCGGGATGGGTATGTTTACAATGTTTACACGTGTCAACAGTCGGGGAATTTCCGTTGTCGTCGTTGTGGGTACGTGCCTGCAAGCAATACTGTCAGCCATTTTTTCTGTGAGAACATTTATTAGTACGTGCTCTGCTTGGTTGCCCTTCGAGCTGCCAGAGCTCCCCTATTGCATTTTGTGGTGTAACAAGCATCCTTGCCTACATTCCACTGCGGAGCCCACTTCATGTAAGACCGTATTATTTATGGTCTTTCTCATTTGGTATGTATGACCAAAATTATAGTTGATAATTTTTCTTTTTTCTTTTTGTACTTATAATCATATTACTTTGCAGTCAATTTAAATAAAAGATGGAATTTTGGAAGGCTAGTATGCTATGAAATGATCTTTGAACTTTAGTACCCAGATTTACAAAAAGAAAGCTCTCAGACGAAAAAGACAAGCAAGAAATTTGTTTGAACGAGAGAATGCCTCCAGTTACCATGTGCTTTTATCTCTATTTTGCTACCCTCGTGTACTGGTAGTTGCAAGTTTTAATTTGTTAGTATTAATCCTGCACACACCTATAATAGATACTCCACCAGCTTTTGTTGCTGCAACAACTGCATCCATAACACCTTTGGTTCCTGATTCAAATTTAGCCATCTCGAACACACCCATGGGACTGCAAAATACACAATTAAACTTTCAATGTAAGTCTACTTCACAAAATGAGTGAATATCAAGCTGCACTAAGGAGACAGATTTAATCTTGTGTCTAAAAGTAAGCCATTTTAGTACTTAGTTTCCAAAAAGGTTTCAAACATTGCCGGTTATACAGTCATATAAATACAGTTATGGTTTTGCCATTGATACCTGCAATTTACATTCCAAAACATTTATGGCAGTGATGAAAAAATGACAAAACTGCAGTTCAGATCTCAAGTTAGCTATAATTCAGAACATTGCCATGTACAAGTGAGCCCGAATTTCCTAGTATGCAGTCTTTGACTAATCAAATGGTCAGTTCACTTACAACAACTACACAAATGATAGTCAAGAGGCTTTTCAAGCCAACTCATGATATTTGAAACGGGCATGTTTCATGCGTGGCAAAGCATACATGTATATTTTACAACAATCATTAATTAATTTGCAAATAATCATTTGAGCTCTTTTGATTGTTTCTACTGATAAAGTAACAAGTTATGTGAATGTGTTATGTTCAAGTACACAGTACTTCATAGATAAAAAACTATTAATAATCAAGTTAATTTCCATCAAATGAGACCAAATCCACATTTTATTTTACATGTCTTCGCCTTTAGAATTACCCTAGCGAGTCGAGGGCCGTTCTGATATTGATGTTTCTGTCCTTAGGACTTGAGTTATTACAAACATCTTCACCCCTTCATGTACTAAAAAACAATCCTTCCATCAGAGAACCACTCACGCGAGAGCAGGCCCCATACTGACCAAAATGGCGAATCGTTAACGTTTTAGATCTACAAACCATGCGCTTTGACAGATGAATTTTATGAGTACGTGCCAAGTGATCTCCTGACCTCAGTGGAAAGTGACAAACCCCCCATCCAACCTCTAAACATATCCAGGAACAGATAACGTCAGACTGTAACATGGCTAGTAAAACAAGTCATCTGGTGAGCAAATAGAGTGATTTCCAACCAAAAACAACTGTCATTTGAATCAGTAGTCGCTCACTCTGTGAATCATTTAAGCCCACAGTTGCAATCAATCAATCAATCAATCAGCGGTTGATAGCTAATTATAACATTACAGAAGTTTTTCTTCATGAATAATTAATCAGGTGCAGTTTGGCAAAAGGGTAAGAATTCAGCTGGGTAATCTGCAGTTGGCATTTGAAGGTCGTGGGTTTGAATTGTAGTGTGGGACTTTTTTTCCGCGTCAATAGTAATGTAATTATGTAACTGAGAAAATGAGATGATATGGAAATTTGAAATAATTCAAGACCAACATAGCTGAACAAGCCAAATGAACTACTACTGGTAAATATATAGATTTAACACTTGATGCGCGTGTAGATTTTTCCTTGTTCTTTCATCTACTGGCGAGCCAAACAAACCAAATGAGCTACTCAAATATATAGACCTAAGACTTAATGCACATATAGATTATTCCCCGTTCTTTCATCTACTGGTGCGGCAAACAAGCCAAACGAGCCACTAAATACATAGGCCAAAGGCTCAACACACAATATATTTTGTAACATTTTGCTAATGACACTGGAGTATGTTCATAATGTATGATTTGTGTTAACTGTAGAAGTACTTTAGCGTGCTTGCAGGTGTGATGAATCCCTAGGGGCTGTTAGGCTATTTAAGATTTTGTAAGTTATGCAAGAGCCACTAAAAGGCATCTCTTTCAAGTTTGCTTTATTTGTTATGCTGTCAGATACTGAACGAGCGAGCGTTCCTGCTTTGATTGCTGAATCCTTCAAGGAGGGAGATCCTGTTCATACGACTGCTTCAGGATCATCGGGCTCGACGTTGTCCAATGCTGAGACTTTGCAGTTGTTTTCTCAGCTTTTGGATGTTAAGTTTGACCAGAAGTTCGCAGCATTCAAACGTGATCTAGAGGAGAAAGAAACTGCCACTCAGTCCCAGCTGAAGAAGCTGAAAATGGAATCCAAGGCTTCCAGTTCTTTTAACTTCAAAGGAAACAAAGTACAATATGAGTTCAACAGCTCTCTGCTTGATGCAATAGACGGGGCTATCAAGACCATCTCAAAAGGAAACCTTTCAGCAGCTAATTCAGAGCTTGAAAGAATGAAAACTCTCATTACTAAACGCAACAAGTTAATTTGTTTTGCAGACAAGAGCCCCGCTTATTGGACAGCTGTTGAAGAATATGAATCCAACGAATTTGCAGACCATCCAGAGGACGAGAAAAAACTGCGATCAGCCGAGAGAAGAGTGCTCGTCAAGATTCGGGAGAAGAAGCGTAAAAATGGATCTAGCCGGTCCAACTCTACAACTACCCACCCTAACACCAGCGAACATCCATCTTCTGGTTTGTCCACTGGCAATTCGTTTTCTCCTAATCAGCCGTTTTTTTGCACGCAGTCCTTTCGTGGACGTCAACCTCAACCTGCAGACAAGTGCTTTAGCTGCAGACAGAGAGGCCACTGGGTGAACTCTTCCTCCTGCCCAAGCCATTTTAGGGGAACTGCTGCAGCCGTCCCAAGCAGTAAAAACACGAACTGACGATAATTACCGAGCCGTTTTCCAGAGACTAGGGCAAGATGAGTATGATTTAATTGATTTAGCCAAACGTGTAGGAGACTGACCCAGTTGAACTTACTGGTAACTTTGCTGAATCATCTGATTCACTTGACAGTTGTTCTAGCACTGATTATCGGGACGAAATGCCTATTGTTAAGGTTAAAGGCAATCTTAAACTTAATGTAGCTTTTTGGGAGCATATAAGTGCTTCTTGCTTTATTCGCGATACCATTTCAGACAGGTATAAGATTCCTTTTATTTACACCCCATCATCAACTCATTTTTCAAATAATCGCTCAGCCATTCAGTATAGTGATTTTGTTGGGCTGTCCATTTCTGATCTCCTGGCCACAGGTTCAGTAGTTGAATGCCAGTCTGCCCATACTGTAGTTAACCCCTTATCAGTTTCTATACAGTCTAATGGTAAGAAAAGGCTTATTTGGATTTATGGCTCCCTAATTATTTTGTTATGAAATCCAAGGTGAAATTCGAAGACGCTACAACCATGCTTTTTAGCTTTGTCGATAGTTCCCAGAATTGGCGTATTTCATTCGATATCAAATCTGGTTGTCATTATATTGACATTTTTCCACCGGACCAAGAGTTTTTAGGCTTTTCCTGGTCCAAGGATAGGTTAATTCACTTGTACAAATTTACTGTTTTACCATTCGGCCTTTCCACTCGCCCTTATATATTTACCAAAGTCATGAAGCCCTCAGTGTGTTACTGGCGTCTTCAGGCTTTCAGAATAGCTGTATATTTGGATGATGGTTTAGGTGTGTGTCCTACATTCGCTGACTGTTGCTCCCAGTCCATGGCCGTTAAATTGGATTTGTTCTGTGCTGGTTTTGTGGCAAATACCCAGAAAAGCATCTGGGCTCCAGTACAGTCTCTTTGCTGGTTAGGCTATTGCTGGGATTTAAAGGATAACTTGCTGACTGTGCCTGAGGACAAAATTGACAAGTTACTCACGAGCATCAACAATGCATTCTGTCAGAGTAGTCTATCTGCAAGGCAGCTGGCTTCTGTCATGGGTAGTATTATTTTGAATGTGCTTGTTTTCCGTAATGTGTGTAACTTATGACTAAGAGTCTTCACAGGGCTCTTGACCATAGAGAAGGGTGGGAGTCTCAAGTTGATTTGGATCTCTGCACTTGCAAGGAGTTAGAGTACCGGAAGACTGTTTCTCATCTCAATTTCAGGTGTTTTGCAGACGCTGTTCGCAGACCATTTCACATTGTTTATTCGGATGCTAGTGCTGTTGGATCGGATGTGCTGCTATTATTGCCATTGACGACATGCCTGTTTTGCACAAAAACTAGGATTCTTCACAGATGAAACAGAGTTCCACGTAGAGAGAACTCCACTGTGTTAGTTTTGCATTAAAGAGTTTTGCACATCTTTCAAGGTGCTCTGTTAAGTGGCTTACTGTCAACCAGGCTGTTCCTTTGATTGTCAATTCTGGTAGTATGAATGGCATTTGCATCAATTTGCAGTTGGTCTCTTCTTCTACTTCCTCTTCATCATCATTGTCGGGGAGAAACTTCTTTCGTATTTGTCTGCTTAACAGGAATTTCCGTTTCACCACTGCTGACTTGGTCACTTCGTCAAAATCCATGCCATCTTCCTCAATAGAGCGTTGAAGAGTCTTCATGACTTTACGGTGTATTGCGTCGTGTTTGATATGGTGAGTGCATTTTAGAAGCTCTAAGTAAGTCCTTCGTAGCCTTCTTCTACTTTCAGGTAATAGGGCATTGAAAGCAGCATTTTCAGCATAATTTTGGGATTTTCCCTTATCCAGGAACTGCCGGACTTCTTTCAGGTAGGATTCTTTGAGATCTTCCCTGACATTTTGATGTAACGGATTCCACGGATCTGGTTCATCATTGTCTGCTTCTTCTTCCTCTTCGGAGCTGCTACTATCCTCCTCTTTTCCTGTTACTCTTCAGGCTCCTCTTCTTCCACCTCCTCTTCCTCTTCTACATTTTCATCATTATCTTCCACCGGGCCAAAAATACGCGTTGAACGATCATCCATGATTCTCGTTGATCTTCACCCAGGACAAAGTGCTTCAAACAAGCCGAGTCGATTAAACTGATATTTAATATACCATTTTAATCAAGGATCAGACATTCTCTCCAGGACCGTGTACCCAAACGATCGTGCAGTCACTTTTTGATAGGCGTCCATTATGTCTTGTCAGCAAGTGGGAAAAGCTTAAAGCAGTAAATTCTTCATCCCTAATTGATCTCTTGGATTTTGAAGGCTACGATGTAGTGGGCGTTCCTGGAAATACTCTTGGTGTATTTGCCTGGTGGAAACATGTCCTGGCACAAGTACAACATGGTGATATTTTGATGATGAGAGTGTTTGGTGATCAAGTCTAGCAACGCTTTGTCCTCACCTCCCTCTGCCATCAGAT